GATAATATCAAGTCTTCCTATCCATGAACATGGAATGTCTTCTTTGATTTCTTTCAACAGTTTTGTAGTTTTCCTCATATGGATCTTGTACATATTTTTTTTAGATTTAACCTAAGTATTTCATTTTTTGGAGTGCTAATGTAAAGGGTATTTTGTTTCTAATTTCAAACTCCAACTTGTTCATTGCTAATATATAGGAAAGCGATTGGCTTTTGCATATTGATCTTGTATCATGCAACCTTGCTATAATCACTTCTTAGTTCCAGGAGATTGTTTTTGTTTTTTTGCTTTTTGTTTTTTGTCGACTTCTTTTGGATTTTCTAGATAATCGTGTCATCTGTGAGCAAAGACAGTTTTACTTCTTCCTTCCTCAATCAGTATACCTTTTATTTCCTTTTTTTGTCTTATTGCATTAGCTATGACTTCAGTATGATGTTGAAAAGCAGTGGTGAGAGGGAACATCCTTGCCTTGTTCCTGATCTAAGTTTTTCACCATTAAGTATGATGTTGGCTGCAGGTTTTTTGTGGATATTCTTTATCAAGTTGAGGAGGTTCCCCTCTGATCTTGGTTTACTGAGAGTTTTTATAATGAATGGGTGTTGGATTTTATCGAATGGTTTTTCTGCATCTATTGATATGATCATGTGATTTTTCTTCTTTAGCCTGTTAATCAACAGGCTATGTATGTATTAATGTATTAATGTAATCACATTAATTGATTTTTGAATGTTGATCCAGCCTTGCATACCTGGGATAGATCCCACTTAGTCGTGATTGTATAATTCTTTTCATACATTGTTGGGTTTGATTTGCTAAATTTTGTTGAGGATTTTTGCATCTGTGTTCATGAGAAATATTGTTCTCTAGTTTTCTTGTCTTGGAGTATCTTTGTCTGGTTTTGGTATTAGGGTAATACTGGCCTCATAGAATGACTTAGGAAGTATTACCTCTTCTTCTATCTTCTGACACAGATTGTAGAGGATTAGTATAGTTTCTTCCTTAAAATGTTTGGTCGAATTTACCAGTGAACTCATCTGGGCCTGGCGCTTTCTGTTTTAGAAGGTTATTAATTATTGATTTCGGTATAGGCCCATTCAGATTGTCTATTTCTTCTTGTGTGACGTCATTCCTTTTTATGGCTAAATAATATTCCATTTTATGGTTTCACCACATTTTATCTACTTTTTTGTTTTTGTTTTCACTTTTGGGCTATCATGAATAATGCTGCTATGACCATTCATGTACACATTTTTGTGTGGACTTGTTTTCAGTTCTCCTGGGTACAAATCTAGGAGTAAAATTTCTGGGTCATTTGTAAACTTTATGTTTAACCTTTTAAAGAACTGCCAGACTTTCCCAAAGTGGCTGCAGCATTTTATTTTCCCATCAGCAGTGTATGAGAATTCCAGTTTCTCCTCATCCTCGCCAATACTTGTTATTATCTGTCTTTTTGATGATAGCCATACTAGTGGGGTGCAGTGGTACCTCATTATGGTTTTGATTTGCATTTCTTTAATAACTAATGATGTCGAGCATCCTTTCACATGCTTAGTATCCATTTGTATGCCATTTTAGGAGAACTGTCTATTTAAATCCTTTATTCATTTTTTAATTGGGTTATTTGTCTTTTTGTTGTTGAGTAAGAGTTCTTTATATATTTTGGCTATAACTTTCTTATCAGATACATGGTTTGCAGGTATTTTCTCCCATTCTGGAGTTATCTATTCACTTTCTTGATAGTGTTGTTTGAAAGAAAAGTTAAATTTTGATTAGATCTAATTTATCTATTTCTTCTGATGTCACTTGTACTTGTGGCATTGTATGTAAGAAAATATTGCCTAATCCAAGGTCACAAAGATTTAGTCCTGTTTTCTCCTAAGAGTCTTATAGTTTGGGCCTTACATTTAGGTCTGTGCTCCATTTTGAGTTAGTTTTTGTGTATGGAGTGATGTGGGAGCATTGGCACGTGGAGATCCAGTTGTCCCAGTATCACGTGGTGAAAGTCTATTCTTTCCCCATTGAATGCTCTTGGTGCCCTTGTCAAAAATCAATTGAACATAAATATGAAGGATTATTTCTGGACCCTCAGTTCTATTCCATTGATCTATATGTCTGTTCCTGTGCCAGTACCATGTTGTCTTGATTACTGTAGGAATTATTGTAGGAAGCTTTGAAAATGGGAAATGTGAGTCCTCCATCTGTGTTCTTCTTTTTCAAGATTGTCTTGGTGCTTCAGAGTCTCTTGCATTTCCATATGGATTTTAGGATCAGCTTGTCAATTTCTGTAAAAAAGCCAACTGGGATTCTGACAGGAATTGTGTTGAACTGGTAGATCATGTTGCGGAGTATTGGCATCTTAACAATTTAAGTTTTTCAATCCATGAACCTGAGATGTCTTTCCATTTATTTGGGTCTTTAATTTCTTTCAGCAATGTTTTGTAGCTTTCACTGTACAAGTCTTGTACTTCTTTTGTTAAATTTATTCCTAAGTATTTTTTTTATGCTATTATAAATGGAATTCTCTTCTTTTCAATTTTGGAGTGTTCATTGCCAGTGTATAGAAATACAGTTGATTTATGTATATTGATCTTGTATCCTGCAACCTTGCTGAACTCATTTATTAGTTCTAATAGTTTTTCAGTAGATTCTTAGGACTTTCTATAATACAAGGTCATGTCATCTGAGAATAGAGATAGTTTTACTTCTTCCTTTCCAATGTGTACACATTTTATTTCTTTTTTTTGCCTAATTGCCCTGACTAGAATCTCCTGTACAATGTTGAATAGAAGTGGTGAGAACAGATATCTTTGTCTTCTGATCTTAGGGAGAAAATATTCATTCTTTCACCATTAAGTATGATGTTAGTGGTCATCATACTGATCAGGAATGTCCTTTGTCAGGTTGAGGAAGTTCCTTCTATTTCTAGTTTGTTGACTGATTTTATCATGAAAGGGTGTTAGATTTTGTCAGTTATTTTTTCTGTACCTCTTGAGATGTTCCTGTGGTTTTTGTCCTTTATTCTATTAATATGGTGTCTTAACACTGATTTTTTTTTGTGTTGAACCAACCTTGCATTCCTGGAATAAATCCCACTTGGTCATAGTGTATAATCTTTTAAATATGTTTTTGGAATGTATTTGTGTATGTTTATAATTGTTATGTCTTCCTGATGGATTGACCATTTTCTCAATTTAAAATGTCCTTCTTTGTCTCCAGTAACAATTCTTGTCTTAGAGTCTGTTTTGTCTGATATTAGGGTAGCCCCCCAGCTCTCTTTTGGTTGCTATTTACAGGTATATCTTTCTCATCCTTTGACTTGCATCTCTTTGTGTCTCACCCTTTTGTTTCTTATTTTGAGTCTTTTTTTTGTTCCTCTGTTCCTCCTTGACTGCCTTACTTCTTTGGGAGGAGGCAGGAGCACAGCACACTAGGTGGGGGTCAAGGATGAGGGTTCTCCTCCCTGTTCTGGCACTGTCTGGCAGTGAGGCCTCGGCAGATCCTTCCCTGTCTCTGGGCTTCCTGCTTGTCCCCACCGCAGCACACTCACAGAGAGCGCTTCCTCTGTCCCAGGTACTGTTCATGCTATCCCATTGGTCTCATGAATATTTATTCTCCAACCCTGTCTTAGCCACACAGCTTCAGTCTCCCCACTTCCAAGCGTGCATCCACTCTCTGTCACTGCTCTGTCCACTCTCTGGTACCCCTGCCCTGTGTAGTGCACCTGCAGTGTTTTATGTGCATCTAGGTTTTCTGCAGGTGGGCTGTCATCGGGGGGTCTCATTCCGCCATACCCAGCAGCAGAACTCTCCAGCCTGTGTTTTATGGCCTGCACCCTAATCAGCTGTGAAAGCCCCCCACCCAGCTGCCTCCCTGTGCAGCAGGAAGTCTGTTAACAAAGGATTAATTAATAGGATCATTAAGCTTTGCAAATGGCTCCTTCCCATGGAGTGTGTCTCCTTCCCCCACCCTGGTTCCTGTTGCTGTGGCTGCATCTGTTGGGGCAATGGGGCCCGGCCTCCCACAGGAGCCCTCATGGGCAGGCTGCCGGCTGCCCAGGGGTCAAGAGGCCTGGAATTCATCCTGGCTTCTTGGCTCATGTGCTGTGGGACCCAGGGCAAGTCTTCCTCTGTGGTGGTCAACCCAGGGGGAAACATGGACAGGAACCCTACAGTGTGAGATGTGCCTGTGGTGATGGGGGTGCACAGAGGTCTCCCCAGGGTGCTGAGTGGGTCTTCTCAGAGAGAAGGCCACAGTTTTCCAGGTAGGAGTCAGGGGAGAGATGGTGCTCTGGGCAGAGGGACCAACAGAAGCAAAGGCCTGGAGGTTTGAAGGGACAGAGTTCAGCTGGGTGTTGGTGAGAGGTTGTGTGTTCAAGGACCCCAGGAGCTGGGCCCTGAGACCCAGGGCTGCCCTATGCCCGAGGAAGCTGGCCCCTTGGCAGTGGGAAGGGGCGGCCTCTGGGGTGAGAGGAGGGGCTGGGCCCCTGGGCTGTGTGGGTTCTGGTGGGGCCTGCCTCTGTAAAGTGCCAGGGACTGCCCAGCTCTGAGAAGCGGCACCAGGAAGGGAGCAGAGGCCCCGCCGGGCTCGGGGATTTTGCATGGGCTTTCCCCACCCGCTTCCCTCAGCGGTTCCTGCCCCTGCAGGTGTGGGGCCCTCCCCGGCTCGCCTGCCCTGGCTTCTGGGGTTCCCATGGGGCACACAAGAGGCAGTAGGGAAGCTCATGCGGGCCCAGGCAGGACTCCTCACCTTCCCAGATGATGCCTTGGGGGTGAGGGATGGGAAGCAGAGTCTGGGCAGCCAGGGCGGTTTGGGACAGGAGTGGGGCCAGCAGGACCTGCCCCTCACAGGCATGTGGCCAGGTGGGTCCTCCTCCTCTGGGCCTCAGGTTCCTCCCCTGGAACGGGTCTCTGGCCTTTCTGCTGGTGGCCAGGGCAGCTGGCTGGGTGGGAAGTGGAGTCCAGGAGCCCCTGTCCACAGCCCCTCCCTCGCCCCACGTCCAGGCACGGAGTTCGAGTACACCGACTCGGAGAGTGAGGTCAAGGTGCGGAAGCGGTCACCTGCCGGCCTGCTGCGGCCCAAGAAGGGACCGGGGGAGCCAGGCCCCTCCCTGGCCACGCCCGCGCCAGGCGCCCGGGGTCCCGGCCCCACCAGCCCCGACAAGGCCAAGCTGGCAACGGAGAAGGGGCGCAAGGCCCGCAAGCTGCGGGGTCCCAAGGAGCCCGGCTTCGAGGCGGGGCCCGAGGCCAGCGACGACGACCTGTGGACGCGGCGGCGCAGCGAGCGCATCTTCCTGCACGACGCCTCGGCCGCGGCCCCAGCACCCAGCAGTGTGGTGCCCGTTGTCACCAAGCCCAGCCGCTGCGGCAAAGGTGGCCCGCTGAGCCCGCGCAAGGACGCCGGCCGTGCCAAGGACAGGAAGGACCCCAGGAAGGTAGGGGCTCAGTGCACAGGTGGGGGCAGCGGGAAGGGGCCCCGGATGCCAGGCCCCACCCCGCCCAGCCTCAGGAGGTGGCTTCAGTGTCTGCCATGGACCCTTTGCCTCCCGTCTCAGAATAACCTTCTAAAATGTGAGAGAAAAGTTCGGGACCCCAGAGGAAAACAGGGCTCCTGTAAACCTCCGTCTGTGATACGGCCCTCTCTGTGCTCCTCCGTGAACGTCTTTTGTACCTGGCAGCAGGTCTAGTAATGTCATTATCTTGAAGCGATGAGCTTAAACGATATTTCAAGGTCTCTGTGGTAACTGTCATGAGTTGCATGGGAGTGATTTCTGTTGGTGACAAAGTCTTAGACACCGTTGGTCCTACTGTGGTTTGTGGCCTCCACCCACACCTGAAGGAAAACCTCATTTCTTCAGATGTTAGTGAAAATAAAGATGGGGTTTCTTTATTCCCGTCCAAGTTCACATATTCCCTCAATTCTCTCTGTGGACACCCCAGGTTGAGAACACCAGCTTTTCAAGAACTCTATGATGATTAGACTTGTTACCCTTTTTGCACTGGCTGCTAGGAAGTTAATGGCCAGCTGTTCCCTGTTTAGGTGGTTGCCTTCAGACCCAACAGCCAGCTCTCGACAGTCGTCTCTGACTCAGGCCTCTCTACCCCGTGTCCCTGATAGCGGATGACCCTCAAATAACAGTAACATTCTAGAGAAAGTCACAAAAAGGGATGAGACTTGGGATTGGTTTTCTGATAGCAGGGTATGGTGAGGAAGGGGCCACATTTGAGTGTCATCCACAAGCACCTTCATCCGTGCTTGCCTCTTGTTTGCTCGCGGCTGAAGCCGTCTCAGGGTTTTCCAGGCCTGGGAGAAGGCTTGCTGGAACAATACGTAATGATGATGATGGTGATCATGCCAGGAGACCCACGGTGGGGCCCAGGTGTGTTTTGACCACTTGACCGCCGTTACTTCATTTATTGATAAAGGAAAGCTTGTTTACTCACAGCCTTTCTGACACTCACTACCCAGAGTTGGCACAGACCCCACAGGTTAAGCCCCTAGCCCCAGTTTCAGATGCCAGTTGCAAGTCCCAGGTTGTCACCTGTGCTTCTGGCCGACCGGCTGTAAATTGGGGATTTTCCTGACCCCTGCCTTAGGTTGGATAGGTCACTGGAATGACTCGCAGAACTCGGGAAGATACTTGACTGACTGCTACTGTTTGTTCTAAAGGATCCGACTCAGGAGCAGCTGGTGGAAGAGACGTGCAGGGCGAGGCGTGGGGGAAGGAGCGCAGAGCCTCTGTGACCTCTCTGGGTGTGTCACCTGCCCAGCACCCCACTGTGTTCAGACCCCGTCGTGTAGGGGTTTGATGGAGGTTTCCTCCTTTTGGCATGGTCGATTATGAACTCAATCTCCAGCCCCTCGTCCCTCCCTGGAGGATGGGAGGTGCAGCTGAAAATTCCACACTTCTAGTGGTGGCTTGGCTTTCTGGTGACCAGGCCCCATCCTGAAGCTGTCTAAGCTTACCAGGAGTCGCCTCGTTAGAACAAAAGGCGCTCCTGTGACCCAGGACATTCCGAGGGGTTTAGGAGCTCTGTGTCAGGCCCCGGGGCCAGAGACCACATAGAGATTTCTTATTACTCACAAAACCGCATGAGGTGGGTTATCGCATCAGCTGCGCCTCACAGGGGCCCTGTAACCCACACCAGGTCGCAGCACTAAGGATCATCGGGGCAGAGCTTTGAACACGGGGTGTCTAGCACCAGAGCCTGGGCGCTGACCGCGGGGCCACACTGCCTCATTGGGCCTCTCCCAAGATGGCGCCTCCTGCTGGAGAGAGGACCGGGGCTCGCCCAGTCCCAGCCCCCTGGTGGTACAGGAAGCGACTGAAACAGCAGGTTAACTGTCAACGAAAGGGGCAGTCAGATACCCGGCAGATCACCCCAGGAGCAGCCACGGGTCATGGTTTTTTGAGATACACTTTCGTATCCTGCTTTTTAGACTTGGGTTTATATCTTGTGCATTCTCATTTACCATGAGCTTTTACTTTACTTTTTTTTTTAATCAATATTTGTAAATGGCTGGATAACACCCCACCCCCTGGCTGTCCCTGGTTTCCGTTGTCTCCCGCCATCAGCCATGCTGGCCCTCGGTGATTTGGTCGACAATGGTATTTTGCCATTGAAATTACCATGGCGATGACCATCTCCATTCTCTGTACAGACTTGTCACCTTTGGGGTGTTTTTCTTATTTGAAAAAAATAATAAGGTTCCCAGAAATGGGAAAGAAACAGTTACCAGTTTTATCTGATTATAACAGTAACTTGGAAGATGGAGAGATATCCACTCAGAGATACTGTTTCTGCTGCCGTTCTTTCCCCCGTGTGTCCAGCTACAGAGACGTGTGCCATAGGATGAGCTGTCCCTTTAATAACAGACATTAGGGGGAGAGGAAACATACCCATGTTAACAATGTTCCTTCACCCCCCAAGATGCCTCTGACTTCAGAGATGCAAACAGAATTGAAACGTGCCTCAGAAACAGGACAATGTAATGGGTGTGTGTGTGTGTGTATGTGTATGTGTATGTTTTTTCCCAAAATGGGGATTAAACCGGATACCTTTTATCCCTATAACATTTCCTATCTTGTCGCTTTTCATGCTGTTGGCTTAGAGTTTCATGCGTCTGATGGAGAAGCTGTGGCTTCTGTAGTCTTGGCAACATTTGCCTGGTACTATCTTTTCCTGTTTCTTAATTCTCCCCCTCCCCTGGTCTCTTGACTTGGTTATGTTTTAGGAATGTCTCTTTTAAAAAGCCTGATGTTCCCCCTGCCTTGCCCTGCCACCCGTCACCCCTGGGTCAAGCTGACTGGTGTGAGCCTGCCAGTGGCACACAGTGTCATCCTCCCGCTCTCCTCAGACCAGGCCTCTCAGCTCTGTGATGAAAGCTTGTAACTGTCTCTCTTGGGGCTCCAGCCTTTCTCTGACAGGTGGCTGGACCTCTAGGCTGGTTCTGAGTCTTTGCTCTGATGAGTGAGGCCGTGCACAGCCCCGAGCGCTGGGCCCAGTTTTCGCCCCACCAGGGAGGGGGAGTGCCCCATTCCACCACGCGGAGGGGCTTTGGGCTGGGATGGAGGTGGCCCCCCACTGCTGGGGCAAGTGGAAAGTAACAGGCGTTCGGGAAGCGACTCAGGCAGCAGCCCAACGGTTTTAAGCACTACTCCCAGGAATATGTCTGTGGAACTAATCGGTACTGTTGTTTTTCATGGCATCATGTGAAAGAGCAAAAAAATGGAAGCAGCCTACGTGTCCATCGTTAGAGGAGTGGTTAAATGAATTGCGGCTCCTGCATGCTGCAGCACATTGGCAGCTGTTAAAAATAAAAAATGTGGCTACCTCTGTGTGTATCAGATCTACTTGGGGGGGAAAGTTGCGAAGCCGGACTTTTGGTAAATTCCCATCTAGTTAAAAAAAATACTGTGTGCACAAACGTGTCTGCATAGCCTTCATGTTTACACGGTTATAAGTGCTTGTAGAAAGTTCTGGAAGGATACCCCACACTGTTACTGGTGACTCTAGTTACTTCTGTTCAGTTGATAGGATCGTTGGAGAGGAACTTGCACGTAAACACACTTGGGTGTTTTTTTTTTTTTTTTTTAACAAGTAATATATAGTAGTAATAAAACAACTAAGATTGAAACCAAAAATACTGGCTGGGGGGAGGGAGGGTGTTTCGTTCCTCTCTCAGGAGGCGAGTGGTGGGGAGGCTGGGCCTTCCCTGCCCTCTGATGGCTCTGCTCTATTGCTTCCTCCCCCAGAAGAAGAAGGGGAAGGAGGCGGGATCGGGAGCTGTGCTGCCCCCGCCCCGCGCTCCCGCCCTGCCCCCGGAGGCCCGGGCCCCTCACACCAGCTCCCCGGCCACCGCCAAGAGGAGCAAGGCCAAGGCCAAAGGGAAGGAGGTGAAGAAAGAGGTGAGGCTCGCCGCGCAAGTAAGTCAGGTCCCATGGGCTCCCCCAGGCCTGGGTGGGCTTCTTTGCTCAGTTGATTTGGGCGTCTGCCCTCCACGCCAGCTAGACCCCGGCCAGCCCCCGGCCAAGCTTGTTTGCCCAGATCCATTGTGTGTGGCTGGACGTGCTGCCTCAGCACATGCAGGCCCCAGCCGGGTGGGTTATGGGTCCATTTCATCCTCCCTCTGGCCTGTGGGGTGAGCCCAGCTGGGAACCCCTCACTGCACATGTGGCAGATGCCACTGCAGCCTGTGACCCAGAGTTTCCAAGGAGGGTCCCAGCTGGGCAGGACTCTCATGCCATGTCCTAAGCTGTTGGTGGGCCATACTCTGTCCCCAGAACCGGGGGAAGGGGGGAGCTGTGAGCAAGCTGATGGAGAGCATGGCTGCCGAGGAGGACTTTGAACCCAACCAGGACTCGAGCTTCTCTGAGGATGAGCACCTGCCACGTGGTGGGGCTGTGGAGCGGCCGCTAACTCCAGGTGAGTGCCTGCAATGCTGTGTTGGCTCAGGCCTGGACTATGGGGGTGCAGGAGGTTGCCCTGGGGAAGTTTACCAGGGCCTGAGATGGGCAGGGAATAGGGTGACAGAGGGAACGGCATGTGCAAAGGCCCTGAGATAGTGCCTGCGGTAAACTGCAAGAAGGCCAGTTTGGCTCTGATTTAGTAAGTTGCGGGTGAGAGAGTGGCCTTGGGCTGGGGAGGAGGCCAGAGGCAGATCACCCAAAATCTCCCAGGCCTTGGTAGGAGTTTGGTCTTCACTGTGATGAAAACAAGAAGCAGTCAGAGGCTGTAGGTGGGAGATCAGTGTGGTCAGGTTGGTTTTGCAGTGAGCTCTCGGACTGCAGTGTAGAGAATGAATTGGAGGGGCCCGCGGCGGGGCAGTGAGTCCAGTTAGGAGGCTGTTGCGAGGATCCAGGTGAGCAATGGTGGGGCTGCCGTGGGGGCAGCAGGGAGGGACACAGGGTGGGTTTGAGCGCCTTAGGAGGGGGAGTAGACGGGCTGTGGGGTGGGTTGTGTGAGCAGATGAGAAGGGAAGGGGTGCAGACTGGTGGTGGTGGGCTGAGTGGAACAGCTGTTGCCGAGATGGGTCATGGAGGGGCGCGGGGGAAGCTCATGTGCCGGCCTTTGCTGGCTGGAGTTTGGGGTGCCTGGAGCACATCCCAGGGAAGTGCCGTCCAGTAGCACTTGGACCTGGGGGTCTGGAGCTCGGAGGACAGACTGAGGGGTGAGTTGGGTGGGGACGGGTGTGGAGCACAAGGAGGAGCAGGGCCGGCCCTGGGTAACTTTGTCACCTCATTGGGAGTGTATGAGTCAGCTGTTGCTGCATGACAAGCAGTCACTCAATCTCAGTGGTAGATAGCAGTAAGTATTTGTGTCTCAGTTGTCTTCAGGGTGGCTGGGCTGACCTCAGCTGGGCTTGCTCCCATGATAATGGGAGGCAGGGACCACTCTGCTCCGTGGCCATTCATCGCCCTGGACTGGTGGGCTAGCTAGGGCATGTTCTCATGGCCAAGCTGCCAGAGGCTCAAGAGAGAGAGGGGAAACCGATGAGGCCTCTTAAGGCCCGGGTTCTGAGTTGGCCCTCGGTCACTCCTACCCTTGTGCTGTTGGCCAGAGCGGGTCACATGGTTATGCCCAATGTCGAGGGGTGGTAAGTCCACTCCCGCCACGGGGAGGCTGTGGCAAGGGTGTGGGTGCAGGCAGGGAAGGAGAGGTGGGTTGGTGGTTCCATCCACCCCCACGAGCTGTCTGGGTCTCTCGGTAATGACACGGAGGGGCCGGGTTCGAGGTCCCACAAGAGGAAGAGCAGGCCCAGGAGGCCTCAGCAGCTTGGTGGAGCCTGGAGGAGGAGAACTGAGGAGGGTCTGGTGGGGGGGGTTCCCAGGAAGGGGAGGCCTAAGCCAAGGGGAGTGGCACCTTGGGCTGAGGACAGCGAGAGATGAGTTGCTGGGAGCAGTGAGTGCTGACAGCGGGGTCGGGATGTTTGGCTGTGGAGGATTGATTTCCAGAACAAATGGCATTCCAGGTGGAGAAAAAGCCGATGGAAACTCCCAGAGCTTTGGCCAAAGGGGCAGCAGTGGGGGGCTGATGACCTAGAGCCTCATGCCTGGCTCGGGGTGGTGGTCTTTGGGAGCGGGGTGGGCAGTGTGTGCAGGCTGTCAGCCCCAGTTCACACCTGCCTGGGGTCTTTCAGACACCTAGGGCTGGGAGGGGAGGGGCTGCACACAGACCCCATGTGCACACTGTGTGTGCATGCACATCTCCACACGAGGCTGTCTGTGCAGGCGAGTAGGTGTGTACACACACGGGTGCATATGCCTTGCAGGTTTCCCCAGGCACCCCAGGCCTTCCGCTCTGAGAGGGGTGCCTCAGGGTTGACCAGGCAGGCCTGAGGGGATGGAGGGAGGGTCTCCTGGTGGCCCCCTGGCTCTAGCCCCGCCTCACTGCCCGCCCTCCTGCAGCTCCACGCTCCTGCATCATCGACAAGGACGAGCTGAAAGACGGCTTGCGTGTGCTCATCCCCATGGATGACAAGCTGCTGTACGCCGGGCACGTGCAGACGGTGCACTCACCAGACATGTGAGTGGGGGACTAGGGGACCGGGCAGGGGCAGCGCCCGGCTCAGAGCCTGAAGAACCTTGCCCAGTCCTGCATCCGGGGTGCTTGCTGGGCCTCTGTGGGCAGGTTGCTTCCTCTGTCTGAGCTGCAGCTTATCCTCCATAGAACCGGGCGAATGGTGCTTACCTCGAAGGGGTGTGGGTGGGCTCAGAGGACATTGGGAGGACAGTACACTCAGGGTGTGCTGGGGTGGGCGTGGCCGGCCCCCAGGTGGCAAGGGCCTCAGCAGGAAGGGGCATGAGAGAGTGTGCTGACCTCTCTTGGATCTGCAACTCCTAGTTGTACAGATGAGGAAACTGAGGCCCAGAAGGGGAGAGACTTGCCCCAAGTTTGCACAGCGAGTCAGCAAACCCTCAGGCTCTGATGTCACAGCTCAGCGGTCTAGGAGGTAGAGCTGGTGGTGGTGGCGCCAGGAGTCTTGTGTGCAGGGGCCCCTGTTGGGCCGTCCCCGGTCTCTGCCACCTCACACCACACTTGCCCTGGCCTTGCAGATACCGTGTGGTGGTAGAGGGTGAACGTGGGAACCGGCCCCACATCTACTGTCTGGAGCAGCTGCTGCAGGAGGCGGTGAGCGGGAGGGGAGGCAGGGCCGCTGGGAGGATGGGGGGCCGGGGCTGTTCCTGGTCTCCACCTGGCACTCAATCCTTCGCCTTCCCAGATCATCGATGTGAGGCCAGCCTCCACTCGCTTCTTGCCGCAAGGGACCAGGATCGCGGCCTATTGGAGCCAGCAGTACCGCTGCCTCTACCCGGGCACTGTGGTCCGAGGTGAGGTGCTCTGCTCCCCCGAGACCCCCTCTGGCACCCCCATTTCCTAATGTATCAGTATGGATTTGTTTGGTTGAAACCCATCTCCAACTGGCTTAAGCATAAAGAATTTCATCAGCTCCTGTAACTGAAAACGTATGGGGCCTTTGGGCACGGTTGGACCCCCATACTGTGGACATGGTGTCCTCAGGACTCAGGCTGTCAGCAGTGCTCTATCTGTGCTGGCTTCACACTCAGCTCCTCAGGGCCTCTGTGTCACCATCTTAACAAATCCTGTCGTCAGAGAACTTCTCGCTTTTCCCATATAAGTCCTAGGATGGAATCCTACTGAACTGGCTTGGATCACGTGGATTTCATGGGCCCCACTGCTGTGAGTCTGATCAGCTGGGCCTGGGTTGTTTGCTCATCACTGAAGCTGATGAGTGGGGGTGCTTCCTAATTTTACATGTGGCCTGAGAGAGATGGGAAGGCAGCTTCCCCAGGAAAGCTGGGATGTTGTTAGCAGACAGAAATAACAGATGCCTCAGAAGACATAGGTATGGATGTCAGACATACGAAAGCAGCAGCTACTCAAACAGTGCACCCCTTAGCTATTGCAAAACCAGCATATCCAGGAGATGGGGATGTGGATGTGGATGTTCATGGCATCAAAAAAAAAAAAAACCCCAGATGCCAAATACAGTCCACCCCTTGCCCACCTAATATCTGTACATACCCAGAAGATGGGAGCAGGGGTGCTGGGCAGGAAGTCCTCTTAGTATGGTGAAAGTTTGTCTTGATTCTGATCTCCCAGAGCTTTCTGTCCCCTGAACCATGATGGGCTAGCTGCTTTCTAGGCCTGCCGCTTGGGTGTCGTCGCTCTTGGGACTTCCCCTTGCCATCATTCTGAGAATTCCATCTCTCTCCTGGGTTGCACCTGTGCCTTTCTCTTCCTGTCTCATTCCCTTGTTGTAGTTGAGAATCTTTCTATAGCTTTCTGAGAAAGGGTTGAGGGAGGTAAATTCCTCAAGCATGTGTGTGCCTGAAATCTCTATTTTATCCTATTCTTTTTTATTTTTGGTGAGGAACATTAGTCCTAAGCTAACATCTGTTGCCAATGCTCTTTTTGCTTGAGGAAGATTGTCACTGAGCTAACATCTGTGCTAGTCTTCCTCTGTTTTGTATGTGGGATGCTACCACAGCATGGATTGATGAACAGCATGTAGGTCTGCGCCAGGAATCCGAATCCATGAACCCCGAGCTGCCGAAGTGGAGTGTGCGAACTTAACCACTATGCCACTGGGCTGGCCCCTATTTTATCCTGTTCTTTAGAGATAGTTGAGCTGGGTATAAATTCTAGGTTGGAAATAATTTTCCCTTGTCATTTCAAAGTCACTGTTCCATTTTTATCTAGCTTCCAATGTTGTCTGAGAAGTTCAATGTCATGATTATTCCCAAATCTTTGTAGAAGGCCTGCTTTTTCTCTCTGGAAGCTTTTAGGATCTTCTAGATGTAGAATTTCATGTGGTTTTCTGTGTGTGTGCGTGTGTGCGTGTACGCGCATGCGTGCTGGGTAGTTGGGGGAGAGGGGCTTTGATTTTGAAGCAAATTTCCTTTTATCCTTCCTGGACATATCTTGTATTCCTTCTTTGAGAGTTTCTTTCCTTCATTTACTCTCTTTTCCCTGGAACTCACACTCTTCTGGTGGCCCTCAATGCTGGTATCTTTTTTCCTATTATTGCCTATTTCTTTATCTTTTTTGTTCAACTTTCTAGGAGATTTACCCAACCTTACCTTCTGGCCTTTCTATTCTGTTGCATTTTTGAAATTTCTGCTATCATTTAAAAAATTCCTAAGTTTGTTCTTATTCTCTGACTATTCCTTTTTTTTTTTTTATCATTTTTTTTGTTTCATGGATACATTCTCTCTTTTTTAATTTTCTTTGAGGACCTGTTGTTTTCATTTTAGGTTTCTTATCTCCCTTCCTTCCAGGTCTCCCTCCCCATCTCTGGGTTCTGTGTTCCTTCTCGAGCTCCCCTCCACTCTCTGTTTGGTGTCTGCTTTTCGTTACAGGCTGTCCTTGTGTCTCTGGGGATCCTCAACAAGTGGATTGGAAGACCCATGCATGGGCAGGGTCTCCTGACAGTGGCACGCAGGAATGTGTTGTTGGGGGCCCCAAGTGCCTGCCCCTGCGGCTCTGCCCCAGGCCTCTATCCTTGGGGATCTGGGCTCAGTGCCTGGCACTTGGGAGTGGGGCTAGGGGTTACTATTCAGTGTGCAGACTTCCCTGTCACCTTGGTTGGTGGGGCGCCCACCACGCACCTCCCTGTGCCCAGTGTCCGTCAGAATCTCTCCCCAGACGTCCACCTCCCGGCTTCTGCTGCCTTGTGACCCTCAGCCTGTCCAGGGTTGGGGTCCCCTGCAGCCCTGCCTCCAGAAGTGCTTGGCGCCTCCAGGGCCCGAGACTTTGTGGGGTTTCCTTGTGAAAACCAGCTTCCTTCTCGTTGGCATCGTCTCCTTTCAGGCCCCCGACAGAGCAGAGACCGCTGAGACCAGAGTCAGTCCCTCTCGTCCATGCGGACGTCGTCTTCCGAAACGCTGGCACTCCCACCTGCTGCGTCCCCTCGCCCACTCCCTCTGTCCTTGACTGTTCCTTCACCTGCCTTTGTGTTGTTTTGGGGAGGGCCCGGGGAGTGAGTGGCCTCAGGCATGTGTCTCCGAAGTCAGGACACACACTCAGCTAGAATGGGAGACCCAGTGCTCCCGTCGGGACCGTGTGGCTCTGAAGCCCACATTCTGCACCACTGCATACCCGCCCTTACACATCCTAGCCCAGGGCTGCTTACTGGCCTGTTTGGCCTCCACTTTGCTCTCGTGCCCGCCAGGAGCCAGAGGTCCGCGGGCCTCCGCTGACCCTGCCCCTCCTCCAACAGGCTTGCTGGGCCTCGAGGACGATGGGGACCTGATCACCGTGGAGTTTGACGACGGAGACACAGGAAGGATTCCCCTCTCACACATCCGCCTCCTGCCTCCCGACTATAAGATCCAGTGTGAGTGGTGGTCCTGCTGCCTGGGCCCTCACCTGGCTTCCCTCAGACTCTGGACTCTGTCGCCATTTCGACCATTTGAACCCCCAGGGGAAGGAAATGGCAGAAACCATGGGTGGGGGTTCCCAGGACGGGCTCTGGAGAGGGGATCCCACGGCTCCCCGGGTCTGCATCCCGAGGCCTGTAAGGCCAGGTGGCCCAGGCCGTGGAAGGGATCAGTAATTGTTATGGACAGCTCTGTGCTATGTAAGTCCACCATAGCCTTGAATCCTTGTCTCAGTCCTGTGTGACAGAAATGCCGTCCCCTTTGACTGACCAATACGAAACTCGGGTTCAAAGAGGTGAAATGACTACCCACACACCCATGACTAGTTAGAGGCAGAGCCAGCACTCGGACCCAGGACTGCCTGACCTTCAGGGGTCCAGAACCTCAGAGGTTTTGAGCACCACTGAAGGGAATCATAAAAAACACCAAAGTCAGCATCTTTGCTCAGCCTCTCCCAGTCCGCTCATTCGAGGAGCCTCCATTGAGCTTCTCGTGTGCAGACACCTGGGCTGTGTTCCTGCAGATGGGGCCTTCCTCCCCAATTGCACAGCTTGCCAGGCAGGCCAAGTGGGGTCAACCATACACACAGTGTCCTCCAGTTCCTCCCCACCCCTGCTCCCCGTGACAGAGGATGCTCCAGAGGTTGGGAGAGTGGAGACCAGGCCTGAGCCGCTGTTTGTCCTGCCCTGCAGGTGCTGAGCCGTCCCCGGCCCTCCTGGTGCCGAGCGCCAAGCGCCGCAGCCGGAAGACCAGCAAAGACACCGGGGACAGCAAAGATGGGGGTGCGCCAGGGTCCGAGGAGACCGGCGCCAAGGCGCGAGGGCGCGGGCGGAAGCCTAGCACCAAAGCCAAGGGTGGTACGTGGCCCACACCCTGACCCCCCGAGACGCAAGGGCCGGTTTGGGGGTGCGGGGTCTTGGCACAGAGACCACTCCTGCCTCTGTGGGAGCTGCTCTCTGACGGTTGGTGAGCAGTCAGGAAGCTGGGGCTCAGAGGCAGAGCTGAGATCAGCCAGGGTGTGTTTGCTCCAGAATCCAGAGAAAAGTGCTCAGACTAAGATCCAAGGCCACCGGGACCACTCGGGTCACAATATGTGGATGACTGTGATCCTGGAGAGGGCGCCGTTCCTGGGCCCCACGTAGGAGCCGTGGAGCCAGCACTGGGGCAGGCGCTCGGGCTTGGGAAGCCCCTGCCCCGGCCTCACATCTGCTCTTCCCTTCTCTCTTCTAGACAGAGCTGCTGTCCTGGAGGAGGGGGGCTCAACGGATGAGGTCCCCTCCACCCCGTTGACCCTGGAGCCCGTCAGCACCCCAAGTTCCAAGAAGAGCCCACCAGAGCCCGCAGACAAGCGGGCCAAAGCCCCCAAGGCTCGCCCAGCACCCCCTCAGCCCAGCACGGCGCCATCCACCTTTGCCAGCTGCCCGGCTCCTGAGCCCTTTGGGGAGCTGCCGGCCCCCACCACAGCCCTGGCCCCGGCCCCCCTTGTCACCATGCCCATCACCATGCCCGCCACCCGCCCCAAGCCCAAGAAGGCTCGGGCTGCCGAGGAGTCGGCTGCCAAGGGCGTTCGGAGGCCCGGGGAGGAGGCAGAGCTGCTCGTGAAGCTGGACCACGAGGGTGTAATGTCACCCAAAAGCAAGAAGGCCAAAGAGGCTCTGCTTCTGCGGGAGGACCCCGGGGCTGGGAGCTGGCAGGAGCCCAAGAACCTCCTGGGCCTGGGCAGCTACCCCCCGGCAGCGGGCAGCAACGAGCCCAAGGCGGCCCGGCCCAAGGCCGGCGATGGCGACCTGGCCCAGGAGCCCGGGGCCGGGCTCACGTTTGAGGACTCGGGGAACCCCAAGAGCCCCGACAAGGGCCAGGCGGAGCAGGACGGGGCCGAGGAGTCGGAGAGCAGCAGCGGCAGCAGCGGCAGCAGCGACAGTGGCAGCAGCAGCAGCAGCAGCAGCAGCAGCAGCTCAGAGACAGAGGGAGAGGAGGAAGGCCGGGGCGGCGGGGGCCGGACCTGCGGTGCCTCCAGCTCTAGGGCCTCCTCCTCCTCTTCCTCCTCCTCGTCTTCCTCGTCTTCCTCCTCCTCGTCTTCCTCTTCCTCCTCGTCGTCTTCCTCCTCGTCGTCCTCCTCCTCCTCGTCCTCCTCCTCCTCTTCCTCCTCCTCCTCTTCCTCCTCCTCCTCCTCCTCCTCTTCCTCCTCCTCCTCTTCCTCCTCCTCCTCCTCCTCCTCCTCCTCCTCCTCCACCACAGACGATTCTTCCTGCAGCTCGGACGATGAGGCAGCCCCTGCCCCCGCGGCCGGGCCCTCTGCCCCCCCAGCCCTCCCCAGCAAGGCCCCCAAGCAGACTGGCAAGGCCCGCTCCTCAGCCCACTCCCCGGGCAAGAAGGCATCGGCCCCCGTACCCCAGGCTCCCCCGCCACAGCCCCCGCAGCCTCTGCAGCCCAAGGCGCAGGCCGGGGCCGGGGCCAAGAGCCGACCCAAGAAGAGAGAGGGGGTCCACCTCCCCACCACCAAGGAGCTGGCCAAGCGGCAGCGCCTGCCGTCCGTGGAGAACCGGCCCAAGATTGCCGCCTTCCTACCTGCCCGGCAGCTCTGGAAGTGGTTCGGCAAGCCCACCCAGGTAGCGCAGCGGGGTCTGGAGTCTTTATCTTCCTCTGGCGGCTGACTGCCGCTGCCCGCCTTCCTCCCTTCCTGTCCCCCTGGCATGGAGGGCTGGGGGAGCGGCTGGCTCTCCCGTTTGTAGGACGGCATGCTGAGTCTCCGCCTGACTCCCAAGTCCGTGTCCTTACAGAGCAGCACTGCCCTCCAGTTCCCGGGACCCAGGCCCACCCCTCCGCAGAAGCCAGTCAGGACAGCGTGCCGGGACCAGCACAGACCCCATTGGCGGGTGTTGAGTCCCGTGCAGCAGGGCTCTCAGCCGGGCAGCCTGGTTTGCTTTGCGTTAGCTTCGTTTCTGCTCTCGGCCTTCATGTGGCAGAACGGCTCAAGGCTTCCCGCCGACCCGTTCACAATCGCAGCAGAGGGCCCTTTCCCTTTATTTGCCAGCAGAAGTCCAGGCTGGAGTCCCGGGGCCTGGCTGCATCACATGCCCAGTCTTGAGCCGATCAGTGTGGCCCGAAAAGCAGAACATTCTGGTTGGCCAGGTCTGGGTCACGAGGCCACCCCTACAGTAAAGGATGGTTGGTTCTCCAGGAGGAGCCCTTCCCACCCACTCTGTGCCTGCCTACCAGCTGCACATGTGGACACGCAGCACACACAGGCATACATATGCTTATACACGTACGTACATGTATGCACACACATGTATTCCCGTATATGCATGCACACGTATACTCGTACACAGTGCAGTACACACATGCGCACACACCTGCATACATGCATGCAGAAACATACATGCACACGCGTGCATGCACATGTACACAGTACATGCAGGCACACATGTATACGTGTACACAAATGCACTGCCTATGCATACACACATGCGCACACGCGTGCTTCCATGTGCAGAATAGGAGCCTCTTCTGTGGCCACCGGTCTGTCCCATCCCCCTGGACAGGAAGAGCCTGGGGGCTTTTGTCCACTAGATGTGTGAGCTTGTCCATGGGTGCAGCCGGCCAGGTTCACCCATGGCATCCGTCTCACTAGTCCTGGGTCCTTGGAGGCCACACCTGAGACAGGCAGGGAGGAGACGCCCTGCTAGGTCTATACCTCTCCAGAGCCACTTCCTGCCAGGGCAGGTTTAGGGTTTGGGGGTTGACAGCAGTGAGCTTGTGGGGTCTCTGGCAATGTACCTCTTAAGAGCTTGGGAAGCTTCTGGCGTATTTGCATCGGGTCAGCTCCCTGGAGTGTGTCAACAAGGCCAGAGAAGTTGAGGGATGTTCTGAATCAAGACTTTAGCGTGGGGGTTTCCGTCTTTCAGCAGCCTTTTAGGGCTCCTCCCCGTGCCCCCCAGGGGCAGTTAGAAACCCCCGGAGTGGGAGAGGGCGGCTCCACCTGCCCGAGGCTGCACCCCCGGAGAGCTCTTTAGGACGGGGGATTCCCCCTTTGTCAGGGAAGGGATGCACAGCAGAACGTCAGGGAGGGCTCCCCCACCCCTTCAGCTCCTGCTCTCCTCTGGGCCGCCCTGCTTTTGAGGCACTGACTTGAATCTGGGGCAGATGATCTGCTTCTCTGACCCTGCAGGGCGGAGGTTACCTGACGTTAAACCTCGGATTGTTGGATCCAGGCCGAAAGAGCCTCTCTGGGCAAGGTCACCACTGAGGCAGCAAACCTGAGCGTGTAGGTTCTCTAGAATCTTTCCTGATAAGCCTCAGCCAGACATTCCGGACCAGGCCCCCTGGAGCTCTGATCCTGCAGGGGCTTTATTGAGGGGGCATATCAAGGAGTAACAGCTTCTCAGCTGAGGACAGGCACATCCTGCTGTCCTGCCCCCATGGTGACGCCCATTCCTTATTTTAGCATTTGCCATTGCAAGTTCTAATGTCAGTATCACTGAGGGCTCTTACTGCTGTAGAGGACAGAGCGCAAGGCCTAACTTACTGGCTGGCCTCTTGAACAAAAAAGTCCAGGGGTGTCTGGCTTCAGGTACAGCTGGATCCAGGGGCTCAAAGGCTGTCTTCAGACCCACTCTTGGGACCACTCTGTGCTCCAGGCTTCAGTTTCTCCTTCCTTCCTTTGTATCGGTCTCCTTCTCAGGCAGCCCCAGTAGCTTTCAGCTCATGGTCTGCCAGCTCAGAAGTGACAGTAGGAAGGAAGTATCTTTGTCCCAGGGTTTCAAGCTGAAGTTGTTGGAATATCTTTGGTTTGGGTCCTGAACCCACCCCTGAGCCAATCACAATGGTCAGGAGGAGAACGGGATGTTTGGATTGGCCAGACTGAGTCCTGTGTCCACCCCAAGGGTGGGATCAGCCCCACTGGGGAACCATGTGGACCAGGGCGGGGTCTGTGGGAAGGCGAGTAGCCGCTGGATGCCAACAACCTACCTGCTGTCAAAGATGAGTCAGTTTAGAAGTCTGAGCTGTTCCTCTCACCTCAAACTGATTTACTCCGTGCCTTGAGCATTTTACAGAACATATACGAAATGAGTAATACAGACATCCAAAAGCTTGTCGCCACCAGGAATCTGATGAAGTAAAGGTAGAAGAGGGACTGCTGGCTCGGGAGGAAATGGGCATGTAGGTTTCTACTATTTTGGCAGAAAATTGGTGTTGAGCTGCCTGGCAGGCAATGTGAGAAGGGAGAAGTGACTTTTAGAACTTAGTTTGAGGAGAAGACCTGCCCTTTCCGTGGGAGGGCAGAGCTTTGCTTGGGCCTGGGTTCTCGGGGCGGGGCGGGGGGTCCCCTAGGGACAGTGACAGGTCCTGGAGCCGCCTGGTGCTTGCTGGGTCCCTTCTCGGAGACTGCACATCTGTCTCAGTGCCAGCCCAGGCTCGGGCACTGAGGAGGGTGCAGGAAGTGTTTGTTGAGTGAATAAAGAGACCCCCAGCCTGTCATGGGGCCTGGCAGCCTGCAGACGTGGGCCCAGTGCTGGATCCTGCAGGCCGGGGCTCTGCCCTTCGTCAGCAGCTGCCCTCTGTGGGGGCAGACGGCCGTGCCGGCGGGTGGACGGCCCTCAGCCCGCGCCCTGTGCTCACTCGCCCCTGGTCATGCCGTGGTGGGGTTGACTCGTGCTGAGCCCCTGTGCCCTTTGTTCTGGTGTAGATTGAGGCTGCGCAGTGAGTGCCGAGCTCTGTGACCCCCCCGGGGGTGTGTTGAATGAATCTGTGCGCTGTGGCGGCCCCCACATGTGAGGCAGTCTTGCGGGGTGGAGCCATGTGGGGGCTGCGGGCCCTCGTGGGCGTCATTTGCCAACACTGCTCTGGAACGGGGCGTTGCGAGTCCCTGCTAGCTGCAGAGTGCTTGGTTTAAATAGAGCCCCTCTCGGAGACCCAGCATGCCAAAGAGATGAAAGAGGGCTCCCCAGTTAGACAAGGGGCTTCCTCCCCCTTGCCCCGAACCCTGCAGAACCCCCGGAGTTTGGGGAAGGGGCTGCGGCGCCAGGCGGGGCCGGGTGCGCCCTGACTGCCCATCTCCCGCAGCGCCGCGGCATGAAGGGCAAAGCCCGCAAGCTCTTCTACAAGGCCATCGTGCGCGGCAAGGAGATGATCCGTATCGGGGACTGCGCCGTGTTCTTGTCGGCCGGCCGCCCCAACCTGCCCTACATCGGCCGCATCCAGAGCATGTGGGAGTCGTGGGGCAGCAACATGGTGGTCCGTGTCAAGTGGTTCTACCACCCCGAGGAGACCAGCCCCGGCAAGCGCCTCCACGAGGGCCAGGTGAGCCGCGAGTCCCTGGGCCAGGCGGGCGCGGCTCGGGGAGGTGGAGGCCAGGGCAGCCGCACTCTGGGGTCTGGGGTTGGGCAAGGCCGGGCCCTGGCTCACCACTGCCCCTCGTCTGTCGCACACAGCACTGGGACCAGAAGTCTGGCCGCAGCCTGCCCGCAGCCCTGCGGGCCTCCAGCCAGAGGAAGGACTTCATGGAGGTAGGAGGGCCCCACACAGCCGGGGGCCCTGGGCTCCCGCTCTCAGCCTCCCGTCCCTTGTCCCTCTGACTCTACGCCGCTGTTTCCTGGCCTCTGTCTCTCTGTCGCTTGTGGTCTTTGTGTCTCTCTTGGTCTCTGTCTCCCAGTCTCTGTCTCTTTCGGTCTGTGTCTCTGTTTCTTTCTCTCTCTCGATCTCTGTCTCTTCACCTCTCTGGGTCTTGGTCTGTCTCTCAGTCTCTGTCTCAGTCTTTGGCTTAATTATTCTTTATCCATCTTTGTCCCCAGTCCCTCTCTGTGTCTCTCTGTCTCTCTCTCTCTGTCTGTGGGTCTCTCTCTGTCTCTGTGTCTCTTGGTCTGTCTGGGGATATGTTTCTTTGTGTCTCTCGGTCTCTGGATCTCTCTGAGGGTCTCTCTGTGTCTTTCTGTGTCTTTGTCTCTCGGTCTCTGTGTCTCTGGGTCTTTCTGTCTCTCAGTCTCTAGGTCTCTCTGGGTCTCTGAGGGTCTCTCTATGTCTGTTTCTCAGTCTCTGGGTCTCTTTCACTCTGTCTGTCTCAGTCTCTGGGTTTCTCTGAGGTCTCTCTTGGTCTTCTGATCTCTCTAGGGGGTGTGTTCTGCATCTGGGTCTCTGGGGATCTGTCTGTCTCTGGGGGTCTCTCTGGGTCTGTCTGTCTCTGAGTCTCTCTGGAGGGGTCTCTCTTGGTCTCTGGGTCTCTCTGGGGAGTCTCTCTCGGTCTCTGGGGCTCTGCCCTCGAGGCTTTCTCTGGTGCTCTGTGCTGGGAGGGGTCTTCCTCGTCCTGACACCGCCTGCCATGCCCGCAGCGCGCCCTGTACCAGTCCTCACATGTGGATGAGAACGATGTGCAGACGGTGTCGCACAAGTGCCTGGTGGTGGGCCTGGAGCAGTACGAGCAGATGCTCAAGACCAAGAAGTACCAGGACAGCGAGGGCCTGTACTACCTCGCGGGCACCTACGAGCCCACCACAGGCATGATCTTCTCCACTGACGGCGTCCCCGTGCTCTGCTGAGCCCGTGCCCCGCCCACCGCCTTGGGCCCCGAGGGCCGATGGGCCCTCACCATCACTGCCACAGCTCGGGGGCCACGCGTGTCGGTTGTGTGCATGCGAGTGCGCCCGTGAGTGTGTACATGTGTGTGCCCGTATGCATGCACGTGTGTGCCACATGTGCACACGTCTCCAGCCCCCCTTTGTGAACTCCTCGGTGCCCCCAGTCAGGGGCCCCTCTCTGCTATCAGGGTATGGCTCTGCCCGGCCCCTCGGGGCTCCCCTCCAGCACCTTGTAAGCACTCGGCCAGGCCAGGCCCCTGGACTCTGGCGTCCTCGGGCCCATGCGGACTGGGGATTCGGGGGGGAGGCGTTTCCGAGGACCCGAACTGACGCTCTGGGGTTCCCGCCGCCCATGGGTCCTCCTGGAGCGCCCCGTGCCTGGCCCCCGTCAGCACGGAGTCCACCCCGAGCCTCCTGCCGTGGGCCGGTCTCCGCCCTCTCAGGATGGCCTGGATTTGGAGTACAGACCCAGGGCAGGGTGGGGCCCGGGAGCATTGGCCGGCGCCACCGGGAGGGGGCTGCGCGCCCCAAGGCCCCAGCGAGGCCCCCCACCCAGTCCAGACCCTCACACTACAGACAACCCCAATGGTGCTGAAGGCCCCGGCCCGGCCCGCCAGCCCGAGGGAGGCGGCCGTTCTTAACTGTACAGTTTTATTGTACCCAGACTCTCCCCTGTATCATACGCCTTCAGATGGAGTCCACTTTTTAATTATATATATAAAGATAAATATATATAAATATATATAAATATAAACTTTTTAAAACTGTGAAAAAATAGCTATGAAATTATAAAAAAAAGCAAACACATTCTGACGTGCAGAATATTATTTTTTATTTCCTGTTAGATCGTGAGCGTCTAGCACCCCGCTTCACAGGCCCCCCATCCCATGCACACCCCGCCCGCCACCCCCTGCCCAGGTGTACTGTACTCGCCCCCACGATGGAGAAGAGTTAGGGAGAGCAGAGGCTGAGGGGAGCCAGCGCTCCTCCACGGCACTTACAGCCCCCACCTTCGGGGGCGGAGGCCTCGTCCAGACAATCTTAAGGGAAGGAAAAGCCAGACTTCGGTTTTGTTTTTTGGGGGAATTATTGTTTTCCTTTTTTTAAAAAAGTTTCTTTTGGAATTTTGTTTGTTGACGAATTCTGTGTGATCTTTTTCATAAAAAAAGAAAAGAAAAGAAAAGAAAAAGCTATAATTGGAAAAGGACCGTTGTCTGGAGTGGCTCATTTCAGGGGCGGGGTGGGCTGGGTGTCGGGAAGGGGTACAGCCCCTGGGCGGGCGCAGGGGGCAGAGTAGACGTACAGCAGCCAGGGGCCGCTTGTGGCTGTGGAAATTCAGCTCATTTATATGAACAGAAATGAGAAGTGTCTCGGTTGCACCAGCCATGTTTCCACACGTGGCTAGTGGCTACTGTATTGGGCAGCCGAGGTAGAGAACGTGTCCATCAGTGCAGAGAGTTCTCTTGGCTAGTGTGGGGCCGGAGGGCTTCTTTTTCCTTCCTTTAAAATGCCAGTCGAGCGCTCCCAGCCAGGTCCACAAAATGCTGATGGTCTGAGTGGCCCTGAGCGCATGCAGAGGGGGGCGGCTGCAGCGGCAGGGGAGGCTGCCGCCCCCTCCCTCCCTGAGGTCAGCTCCCAGCCTGACCCCATGGTACTGCCCAGTGACCTGGTGTTCTTGTGGATGGGATGTGGGTGACATTCCAGGCTTTGCTGTTGCAGGGCTGTGTGAAGAGGTTACAGCGTGGCACTTGAGAGCGTTAACACAGAAGGCAGCTAGCCCAGCTTCTGGCCGGGGGGGCTCTGACCATCCTCCCATTTCAGAGAAACTGAGTCCCGCGGCAGTGGGTGGCCCCTCCCACACCTGGAGTCTGGGGAGGAACAGCACACTGGCGCCACCTGGCAGCCCCTGTGGCATTGCCCCTCGTGGTCTTGGCCCACGTGGCTGCCCCGGGCTCCCAAGGGCGGTGCCTGCTGGGTGGGTGGGTCCCTGGGCTGAAAGGGACCTACATCAAAGAGTGGACCAACCCCACTCCTTGGGGAAACTAAGGCACAGAATAGAACAGGAGTTTGTCCAGATCACACAAATCAGCAACAGAGTTGCTGCTGGAGCCCAGAACCTCAGCCTGGACCTGCTGAGTCCCCAGGGGGTGGGGGTGAGGGAGTGGGGTGGCAGGGTGCCTCCCCTCCTTGTTTTTCTCCCCCTTCAAATGGGCGGGATGCAGCCATGCTCCCTGAGCTGGTGACCCAAGGGGCACCAAGGCGCTCCTCAGCCCCGCCCCATCCCCACAAACCTGTCCCAGGCCCACCAGGTGAGTGGAGACCCTCCCCCACCCGCCCGCTGGAAACTTCAGGCCTGGGTGCAGGCCGGGCCCCTCTCCAGACGGGAAGACGGGAAGACTGGGGTCCCAGCTGCGCAGGTGGCCTTGTCCCACCAGCACCCCCCCCTCCCTGGTGGCCGAAATGGCAGCGGCAACCCCACCCTCACAGACGTTACTCAGGAGGCGGCGGTGGAAGAGTCTCTGCCTTCGTTTTTTAATGGCCGGTGCGGTACAGTTGGTGGACAGACAGGTGGACGGGACACAGCAGGGTGGGGTGGTCACGGCTGTGCTGTGGGTGTGGAAGGGCAGGCCGTCCCCCCCGGAAAAGCCCATCTTTGGCAGGATGCTCTGCAGGGTCCAAGCTGGAGTGGGACCCCCGCCTTCCCTCTTTGCCAGGGACTCGGGGCATGTCACGTCCCTCCTTGGGCCTCGCCGGACAGGGATCAAGGCCTGGGTCAAGTTGGCTTCAGCCAGGGTGTGGGGCCCTGCTTTGTGGCCCCCAAACTGCGCCCCTCCTGTATCACGGACAGATGCAGGAGCCAAGAATTTGAGGGGGGTCCCTGGTCAGGCACAGACCCCCGGGCCTGTGGTATCGGGTGGGTGCCTGGGTGCACGGAGAGGTCCCGGTGTGGGGTCGGTGCCTAGCTGTGGGTGCCCCAAAGCTGTGGTCGCGGAGAGGCCAGCGCAGACCGTGGTCTGAGACCATTCAGACCCAGGGCTACAATTCCCTTATGGCAAATGCGTTTTGTTTGGGAGAACCGGTGTTTAAGGATGAGTGAGAGGCAGAGGTTGTGGGGTGACAAGGCTGGGGATGGGCCCTCTCCTCTGAGGGCCTCACGTTCATGACGAAGGTCCCGGATGAAGGAAGGGCTGGCTCAGGCGGCACCTGACAGGTACCGTGGATGGTGTGATCTGGGCCGGGGGCCTCAAAGCAGACCCGGGGGTGGGGGTCACCAGGCGGGGACCCTGGCTGGTGCTCTGCTCGCCTGTGAGTGACCCCACAGAGCACTGGCCTGGCTAGAGCTGGGGCCACTGGACGCAGATGGAGGATGAAGGGTGGGCATGAGACGGGACCAGAGCACAGTGCTGAGCGGAGCCCTGGGTGGCAGCAATTCGTCCCAGGCCTCCAAGAACTTGGCAGAACCCTGGGGCCGCAAGGACAGGTGGCTGGGCCCAGAGAGGGTGGCGCTGTTGGCACGAGGAGGAGGCCGGGGCCCCGCAGGCACTGCAGGCAGGGGCGGGGAGGGGGCCTCAGGCCTCGGGTCCCTGGATTGGACCCCAGCGGCCCTCCTGGGGCACGGCTGGGGCCCAGGCCTGGCTCAGAGGCCGGCCGGGAAGGAGGCGTTGGCGGGGGAGGTGGGGAAGCAGCTGCCGTGGGCGTCCCGGGTGAGGCTGTAGGTGCAGTAGGCCACGGCGGAGCCCAGCGTCAGCCCAGTCATGTAGGACACTGTCATGGTGTTCCCTGCGGACGAGACCGGCCCGAGCTGGCGGAGGACGGGGCGGCGAGCGGCCCTCGGGGACCACAGCGGCCGAATCCCCGCAGACGAACCCGGCGGCCACTTGACAAAGGGCCGGGGCCAAAGCCTTGTCTTCCAGGCTTGAAGCGGGTGACCACTGCCTGCTCCGGGGAGGTGGCCGTCCGAGGACTGGCCCCCGTTTGAACACGCAGGGCGCCCCGGGCCTTGTCCGCTTCCCTTTATCTCCAGTCTCCCATCTCCAACTGCCTCCTTGTCCCGGGCAATTTGGGATGTCTAACGGGCTTCTCAGACCTACCGTGTCTGGTGCCTGACTCCGGCGCCCTCCCACGCCACACGCCGCCCCACCGCAGCGGACACCAACCCAACCTTTTCCCCTGAGCAGCAGGCCCCCATCTGGGGAGTCCTTCTTGACCCCACGTCCCTTTCTCACACCATTTCCTAATCTGTCAGCAGACCTACGGGCTCTACCGTCAAAACAGATCCAGGATCCAGCACCTTCCAGCTCCCGGCACCCCTGCCCTGGTCCAAACCCTGTTCTCTAGGGCCAGGACTGTTGCAGTAGCTCCTCACTTATGCCCCGTCCCTGCCTGATCTCTCTCTGCTGTCGGAGCAGCACCACAGGGGTCCTTAACAAACACAGTGAGATCCCGTCCCTCCTCTGCTCCCACCCTCACAGCGGCCCCCTCCCACCTCCTCACTCCCCTGCCACTGGCACACACTGCTGCTTCTGCCTCAGGGCCTTTGCACATGCTATTCTCAATGCCTGGAATGCTCTTCCCTTGCATTATCATGTGGCTGGCTCCCTCACTACTTCCTCCAGGTCTTTGCTCAAAAGTCACCCCCTCAATGAAGCCTTCTGACACTGCTCAGCCCCAGAAGCGCAAGGATCACTGTTTTGTTGCCACTGTGTGCCTAGCACCTAGAACAATGCCTGGCACACAGCAGGGGCCCACCAAGTAGTTGTGGAATGAACGAAGGAAGGAGTGACTAAAGAATGTCCCCACACCTACGAGCTCCCTGAGTGTGACGTGAATCCTGGAACCCAAATGCGCCTTCTTGCCGTGTGGCTTTGGCTTCTATGGGCCTTGGTTTCCCCTCCTGGCAGTGGAGCACCAACAGGCCTGCGGGCGTCGGCTGCCAGGCGGGTGAGCCGGGGCTGGCCGAGCGGGGCCTTACCTGCCAGCTCCCGCTGCTTGGGGCTCACTTTGCCCGCCGCCAGGATCATGGGTACGCTGCCGAAGTAGCCGTTGCTGATGCCCAGGAGCAGGGAGAAGACGCAAGGCCACGCCGGGTGGCGGAGGGCGGGTGCGCCGCTGGGGTAGACGCACAGGATGAAGAGCGGGATGAAGACCATGCGCAGGCAGGAGCAGGCCAGCAGGTGGGGGCCCCGCCAGGCCATGGGCAGGGCCGCCAGGATCTGTGGGGAGCCGGGCGTGTGGGCCCCTGCATCTCCACCGCAGACACACCCCCTGTCCCGGACACGCCCGGCTCAGGCCAGCTCAGGCTGTGTCCCCGTCCTTTCCCAGCTCCGTCCGCTAGAACCCACCAAACCCCTCGTTAGAGCAAAACAGCCCGTGCCGTGTGCTCAGCCCCCATCAGAATGCTGCCCACGTCCCCACTCAGTCCTCACAGCAGCACCCTCGCAGGGTGGGGGCTCTTGAGAAGTGAGGACACCGAGGCCCAGAGGGGCAGGCCCACTTGCATCAACTCGCATAGCAGGAAGCAATAGGATTAGGAGCTGCACCCGCTAACTAAGCCTTGCTCCCTCTCGAAGCACACACTTGTTTCTCGGCCCTCTCAGCTGTGTGACCGCAGGCAAATGGCTTGCCCTCTCTGAGCCTCTTGTTCCTTCATCTAGAGAAGGACTGCCCCAGAAACGGCAGCTTTGTTCTGACTCCAGCCCTGACTCCCGACCCCGCCCTGCACTCGGAGCACAGGACCCTCTGCTCGAATCCTTCTGGCCCCTTGGAGCCATTTCTGGGGCCCTGCCCCCTCGGGTTCTTCCTGTGCTGTCAGAGACCCACTCACTAGTGAGCGTGGGGCGGGAGGACGAGAGCCGGTGCCAGCCTCGGGGACACAGCTGACACTCCAGCGCCACCCTGTGGGGTCAGTTGGGGGCCACCCTCTGGGACGTGGTCTGGAACAGCGCCTTTGCTTGGCTTCCACCCTGCCCGCCCGAGAGCCACACGCATCCTCAGCTCAGGGCCTATCCCTCCCTGGGGACCCTCCGTCAGTGGCCCTGGTGGTCTGACACCCCCACTGGTGGCACACCCCCCGTCCAGGGGCAGGGGCGGGCGGCCCACCTTGCCCACGAAGTCAGAGAGGTTGAACACGGCCATGATGAGGATGGGCAGCCACTCGCCCAGGATGCAGTGGCGGATCTCAGACTCGAGGCCCGGGAAGAGGCACAGCGTGATGAAGTAGGTCACGGCGATGGAGAGCATGTCGGCCCAGATGACGCGGGCCACCATGTAGCGGTGCAGCAGCAGCGCTGTGGGCGGCGGGCTGGGGTCAGGGGGCAGCGCCCTGCGGGCCCCGACCCGCCTCGGCCAGCCTGAGCGCCACCCGCGGGTACAGACTGACGACTGGGCCCACGGTGGGGAGGGGTGCCTGCGGTGCTGCTGCGAGCTCGGGACCCGGCCCGCCCCCACCTCGGAAGGAAGGCCAGCTCCTCTTGACTCTCGGCCGAGGCACGTCGAAGCGCGTGTAGGCACCCCCGTGGCCACTGGTCACCTCGTGGGCTGGGCTGTCCTTCGGGGACCCGCAGTTAGCCAGGGCTGGGCTTTGGTGCTCCTGGAGGGAGGCCAAAGCAAGACGGGGTTTGGGGGGGGCCCTTGAGGCCTCCTGCCCGCCCTCACTTCCTCACCATCCTTCAAACACACAAGCTGCTCCCAGCCTCTGAGCCTCTGCACGTGCTTTTCCCTCTGCTCCCAACACCCTTCCTGTGTATCGTCACATCTCCCCCTGCACACGGGTCAGGTCTCAGCCCAAAAGCCACTCCTGGGGAACCTCTTTGACCATTAAGGAGGCCCCTAGTTTCCATCCTTTGGCCCGTCTCCGGGTCTCTGGCTTCCACGGAGGACGGTGTCTCTGGCTCACTGCAGTGTCCCCAGCCGAGGGCCCAAGTGAGTTGCTGGATCAACGTCTGCGATAACCCTGGCTCCCCCGCCCTGCCCTCTGCGCAGCCGCCTCCTGCGCCTCATCCCGTAGGTGCCTCCACCCCTGCAGCCCTGGGCCCTCGGGGGCCGTGCGGCCTGCCGCCACCAGAGGGCGCCCGGGTCCCCAGCCGCAGATGCGCGGCGCCACCAACAACCGCCACCTTGGCCCACGGGACCGGGAGGCCCCTTGGGGAGGCCACAGCGGGAGGCGCTGGGCCGGGCCTCGGGCCCCCCTGGCTGCAGGGAGGCGGCGGCGGCGGCGGACTCACGAAGTGGACGTCCCCCGCGGCCACGTCGTGGTGCACGCAGTAGCGGGGCCGGGCGGCCGGGCGGCTGTGGCGGGGCCGCGCCGTGTGGCGGAGCACGAAGCGGCTGCGGCGCACCAGCAGGTGCAGCAGGCAGCAGAGCAGCTCCAGGCCGGCGGAGACCAGGAAGAAGATGAGCGTGCTGGCCCGCTCGTCCGGCAGCAGCAGCTTGGTGAGGATGCGGCTCAGGGACACCGTCACGCCCGCAGTGCCTGCGGTGATGGGGGGCTGTGACCGGCCTGGGCCCTGTCCTCCCCAGACCCCGCCCCGCCCCGCCTGAGGCTGGCTCTGGCCCAGTCCTGCCCCCCTTGCCCCAGCTCCAGGCCCTCCCAGCCCCCAACCCAGTCTGCCCAGCCTTGCCCGGCCTCAGACACATGATGGTCCACAGAATGTGCCCACTCAGACGCCCCTCCCCAGCACTGCTGCCTGCTCACACGCACACCCCGGGAGCATTTATTGAGTGCCTGCTGTGTGCCCGGCACCGTACTGCCCTGAGGACACAGCGGGGACAGCACACAGGCACAAACAAGTCACAGGAAAACATCAACCATTGTGCGTGATGGGGGTGCAGGCAGAGACTGGGGGGACGAGCCCCTGGCGGGGAGCTGGCGTGAGCTCGGCGCGGTCCTGTTTGAGGAGCTAAAGGCAGTGGGAGGGCTTGGAACTGTGTGGATGGGGTCCTGAGGTCACAGGGGAGGGCGGCGGGATCATGGCAGGCGGGGGGTCTTGGGCAGGATGGGGGTTCGTCTAAGGGTGACCACATGCCACTGGGCAGTGTTTGGCAGGGGCAGGTCGTGGCCACTGTGGGCCACCCCTAGTGTGGGCGGGACCCCAAGTAAATCTTTTTCGTGGGGCCCCTGGCTACATAAGTCACCCCAAATCAGCGTGTCAGCACCATTCTGGCAGCCGCATCTCCTCCTCTCCGTGACAAACATGTCTGGGCTGGCAGAAGTCATCCACCTGCCTGCTCCCTTCCTGGAACCAAGCTCCACAGACGTGAGGCCTGGAGCCCTGGGGGCCTCTGGTCGACCTCACTGTAGGTAGCGGGTGCAGACTGCCCCAGAGGGGAGAAATGGGGACCAGAGCCCACGCGGGTCCTGGCCTGGGCCCAGCTTCCTGCCTGGACAGCACTGCTGACCCTGGCCCGTCCAGGCACGGAAGGAAGATGGAGGGCATCTGGAGAAAGGTGCTTCCAAGTGTGGGGCCGACCTAAGGGTGGTGCTGCCCCTGTGCAGAGAGGGGGCAGCAGGGCAAGAAGGGGGTTGGCCTCCTGGACCCGGGGCTGGAATGAAGGAGTGAGCCTGGAGGGCAAGTCCACAAGACCTGGGGGAGGGCTGGGTGTTGGCAAGTTTCGGGTCTGAGCTCGGGGGCGCCATTCACTGAGCAGGGGCAGGTGGGAGATGACGAGGTGAGCCTGGGAAAGTGAGTTTGAGAAGCCGGGGGGGGGCTGCTGAGCAGGGGTGGGCCTGGGGCTCTACGGAGAGCTTGGCGCTGAGGTTCGGCACCGGACATCTGGGATGTAAAGTGGCTTACCCCGTGCACACATCACAGCCATGCCCCTCCCGTCTGGGAGTCCCCCACCAGCCAGGCGAGGGGAGATGGTGGTCCCCGTCTCCAGCCCGGCAGCCCCAGAGCTGTGAGCCCTGCCTCGGTGTGGGGCACATAGTTGGGGGTTCCCCAGGAAGAGGCTCCCAGAGCTGGGCAGCCCGCCCCCTGCCGGGGGCTGCGGATACTCACTCTCCCCGGTCATCACCCCTTGCGTGTACCTCTTGGGCAGCATCCCCGTGTACCCGTAGAAGCTGGATTGCTGCACTTGAGCGAGAGAGAAAGGGGTAACCATGAGACACCACTTATCACCTGTCGGCTTGGAACGGAATTCAAGTTTGAGAACGCCACATTGGTGCGTGTGTGGGGAAACGGACGCTAACGCCACCGGCGGCAGAGGGCTTTGGTCCCACCACCCTGCAGGGCATGGGGGAAACAGCACTGCCCACCACAGAGTGCGCGTACTGCCTTCCACATGCCCCCGGGGCTGGCCAGACTCCTGGACTAGCTCTGGCCAATGAGAAACGAGCAGAAATGATACACGTCGCCTCTGGACGAGGCTGTGAAAAGCCCGCGAGGACTTCCAGCCTTTCTTCCCCCTGGCGGCTGGTGACTGAAGGCAGGCCACGCGTTACAGGCGCGCCGCTGTCAGCCTGAATCCCCGAGTGACTGTGTGGAGCAGAGCCCCATCGACACGCTGGACACGCAGCAAGAGCCAGAAATAAGTCCTGTTCTCGAAGCCACTGAGATGTCTGGGCTCATTTGTTACTACAGTGTAACCTCTCTCATCCTAACCAACACAGACAGAAATTGTGGGGAAAATAAAAACGCACTGGCTCATCCCCTGCGGTCGGGCAAGTCCACGCCTAGATGTAGACCCCAGAGCAGGGCTGGCCAACCAGGATCTCCCGGTCCCCACCAGCACTTTTTTTTTAAACAAAATAGAACAGAACCGAACAGACCTGAGCACACTGCCTAGATGGAGGATATTATTTCAGGATAACAGCCTGGATTTCATTTACACACACACACACACACACACACACACACACACGTTCACTGGGTCACATGTAAAATGTTTTTCTCCCTGGAAATCATGGTCAGAAACAGTTTGAAAGTCTACAAAACAACTGGCCCGGACCTTTCCAAAACGTCACTGCCACGGAAGACAGAAGAAGGCTGAGGACTGTTTCGGATTAAAGGAGACTGAAGATGTGACACTAAACACAGTGTATGACCCCGGATTGGATCCTGGGTCAGAAAAATAAAATGCCATGAAGAACGTTCTCGGGACAATTGGTGAGATTTGAGCATGGACTGCAGATTAGATCCCAGTATGGTATCCACATTAAATTTCCTGAATTTGGAATCATAGTGTAGTTACAGAAGAAATATCTTGGCTCTTAGAAAACACAGTGAAGTGTTGGTGTTTAGGCAAGATGTGTAATGATGTCACGTCACTCTCAAACGGTTTAGGGGGAAACATGGATTATTTTATATTTATATATATTTGGGAGAAATTTTATATCTTTTATATATACACACACACTTTATTGGGAGGGGATGGAAAGAGACAGCGTATATGGCAGAATGTTAACAAGTGGAGACTCTGGGTGCAGGGTATATGGGGTTCATTATATTATTCTTGCAACCTTTCTATAGGTTTGAAATATTTTCTTTTTTTTTTTTGTGAGGAAGATCAGCCCTGAGCTAACATCCATGCCAATCCTCCTCTTTTTGCTGAGGAAGACTGGCCCTGGGCTAACAACCGTGCCCATCTTCCTCCACTTTATGTGGGATGCCGCCACAGCATGGCCTGACAAGCGGTAAGTTGGTGCATACCCGGGGTCCGAACCCGGGCCACCAGCAGCGGAGTGCGCACACTTAACCGCTACGCCACAGGGCCGGCCCCTGAAATATTTTCAAAATAAAAAGTTTAAAAAAAATTAGTTTGGAAGCCATGCTCAAGAGAAACACAGTGACACGGTGACATGGGCAGGATGGGCCTTGAAGGCCAGTTTATATCAGAGAAAAGCAGGGAACTGCCCCAATGTCCATGTGGCACAGCGGGGTATGGACGCGTGCATGGTGTGTGCGCTCTGGCCCTGTGTGTGAGCATGTGTGTGGGGCAGGCACTGTGTGCGTGTTGTGTGTGAGCATGTGTGTGGGGCAGGCACTGTGTGTGTGTTGTGTGTGAGCATGTGTGTGGGGCAGGCACTGTGTGTGTGTTGTGTGTGAGCCCGTGTGCGGGGCAGGCATTCTGTGTGTGTGTTGTGTGTGAGCCCGTGTGTGGGGCAGGCACTATGTGTGTGTTGTGTGTGAGCCCGTGTGTGGGGCAGGCACTCTGTGTGTGCCTTGTGTGTGAGCACGTGTGTGGGGCAGGCACTCTGTGTGTGTGTTGTGTGTGAGCACGTGTGTGGGGCAGGCACTGTGTGTGTGTGTTGTGTGTGAGC